TATTTTCATACTCAGATCTCTTTCCCAAATGCTAATTCACTTCACTTCGCACCAAGGTCATTATTCTAAAATTTTCTTTTAAAATCTTTACCTTAAAATTGCACATAATATGTATCATCCATCATTTTTCTTGTCTTTTCTTCTCGAATATTAATAAAAAAAGAAAATAGAAAGAAAAAAATAAAGCAATAATAAGTTGGATAATGCTGGTAATTAAAAAAAAAACTTTCAGTCGAAAAACGTTCACGACGAGATAAAAAAAAAAGTACAACATACGCGAATATGTACTTGTTAGATTTCGCCTTTTATCTTGAGAATGATCTGTATTTACTTGAGAATATGGATCAAGTTCATTATTTTCTATGCTCATATAATGCTTTAAACATTTATTCATGATTTTTTTAAGTGCTGACTAATTAAATCTGTTTATCAAGCCATCCGTATAGAACACAGTATAGTATCCTTAAAACCAGACAGAAGTATCTTATTTTACGCTTTAATGATCACAATTAAGCACTTAAAAAGTAATTTGTGATAATGCATGAAAATGTATCAAAAATTTGGGCTTAATAATCTTGTTACACCGTAACAAATATGCTTACCTTATATATTGTATCTTGTCGTTTATCTTTCCGTTTGACCGACTATGGCCACGTAAGACAGAATAGTTTGAGAAGGACAATTTACATTTCGTAATCTTTAAGAGTTGGGCATTTTTGGGGCAATGGTGAGCAAATTTATAATGAGTATAAATCACGAATTAATATTGCTTTCAAAAAGAAAACAGCAGTCTAAGAATCTAGAGAAGTCGGAAAAATACATGTATAATCAGAAATAAAACCCATCTTTAGCAATTAACATTATCATTTAATTCGAATTAGGGAAAAAAAAACCCCTTTTTTATGATTAATTTTTATGCTTAATTTCATAACACTGATAAAAAAAATTGGTTCTATTTATATCACCTTAATGTTTTAAAAAGATATTCAATGGTGTATGGGATCTCGTATGATATCAAATATTTTCACGCTCAGTCCCCCCTCTCAGAGGCTTGTTCAGTTTACTAACATTTGAAAAGCCAAGGTTTTATACTAAAACAAATATATGAGACAATTCACCTTTCTATTCAGGGTTAAAATGTAGAGATGTAGGTATAATTTCCCGCTTTTATAAAATTTCCAAATGAATAATTTGCCCCCAATACAGGTTTACGTTTTTCAAAAATGAGCGTGGGTTTAAATGTTCATAATAACTAAATATTTTTCTCCTTCTCCCCTTTTTATGTTTATTGAATTATGTAATTTATGATGTAAGTGTGTGGAATATTTTTTTTACTAATTGTTTTTTTTTTTGCCCAGAAACACGTCTTTGAATTAAGAAAAAAAAATGCTTCTCTGTAGTATTAAAAAATATCAGTAATAAACCATGTTACATTACGTCAAAATAAAAAAAAACAACAACAACTCTGTAATCGATGTTTATTAATTTCACAGTTACAAAGATTTCTATAACTAAGGAAAACTATGTTAATATAAACATTTTATTGATGAATAAAAATGAATCAGCTGAATACAAAAATATTTTATCAAGCAATCTTTAACAAAATCTCTAAAAATCGGAGAACAGAATATAATTTTTACGCGTTTATGAACAAATTACTGGAATGCGACATAAAAGCACAAACTTGCGTTGTTTGGTGATACAACATTGATACAGTGTATGTAGATCGATGATAGTGGCTTAATACATTTGTTTGACCTTATCATAATGGTTTTCCTTTTTAAAGGACATACGCAACGTACCTTACCTACTGATAATATTTCAAGATATTCTTAATTTAAGATCATAGTGCCATCAAATGTTTGTAGACAAAAAAATCAGTATACATTACCAAGGGTTTTGAGAAGATAACAATTGATGAAAAATTCTGTATAATTCAGAGAAAAATATAAAAAAAAAATCTACTATACACAAATTCTAGATGTTTTGTTTATCCAAACTTGTTTTAGAAGAACTGAAGAGTAGCATATATAGACATTAAAATGTAGCACACAGTTCCTTTAAGTATTGGAACTCTTCAACTCTCGACAATAAAGTTCAAACTAGGTTGCATATGTCCTTAAATTTATTTAACTTATTTCGTTGTCAGTCTACTTGTCTGCTTCTCCTCCTATTTGATACATGGGGAAAGCAACTTACGTGTTGTTATTATTAAGTGAAGACCACTGCCATGACTTTAAGGTCTTATACGAAGAACAATTTACAATTTTTCAAAACAGATTTTTTGTTGACATTAACGAATACATCTTTGGCTAGAATAGTTATGAAGATCGTAAATAACTTTCAGAAAAATCCACGTTTGATAAAAAAAAAAAATAGTAACAAAACATGATCAAAAATAATACCAAGATTTAGCAATTGTTGTGATTCCTTTTCCTCGAATTCCTTCTAAATTTCTAATATCTTTTATAGTGCGTAAGTGCTAAAGTTTTATTTTCAATTTCATAACATTAGGAAATAAATTCGGTGCTACAAGCTTAATAATACTTTTTTTTCTATATAAATACATGTATAATTCAATTGTGACTTCGTCGTGCTTCTTAAAAAGAAAATTCCAACTCTTGATCACTTTCAGATACTTATTCAGTATTTTAAAATTACTTTTTTTAAAATCATATACAAACTACCACAAAGTCCTTCTCTTCTCTTTGTAGGTTAAACAAATTGTAAAGACGTGTGGTTCAAGATTGCGTAATATATTTTTTCCCATTGAAATACACGTGTCAATATTACAAAATCTGAAAAATAAACTCATCTATGTCGTAGGTTGAAAATTCTTATTAATATGAGAAATTGTTAGATTAAATCGGATATTAAAGAATCCGGGTACGCGATCCCTATTAAGAAACGTGCCGAGATTTACACGTAAGGAAACTCCACCTTGGCTCCCTATTCTAAAATTTCCCCTGTATAATCTGTACTTTAATATATGTACTATTTATCAGTTTTCGTGTCATTTCTTCACGAATAATAAAAACAGAAAAGAAATGTACCTATGTTAGTGTAGATCTCTGATGGTGGAAAAAGTCAAATTCTATATATTCTTCCTTTGTTCGACGTTTCTTGACAACCATATAATAGCGATGAAACAAACGCAATTGATAAAAGTTAGTCTGATTTATTAAAAGAATACTGTTAAGATTTTATTTTTATGCTAAGACATTATATCAGTGGCGGATCTACAGGTTTCCTCAAATTTGTACTTCTAACTATACATGGAAGTATAGTGTAGAAAATTATATACATGTACCATGCGTTTATTAAAAGGCAAAGTTCATTAAGATTTATTATCATATCAATATTCTATTGATTTATTTAAAAGTATTATCGCTGACGTACTTTTTTTTTTTACATCAAGCAATCTGTGCAGAACATATTTTGTTATCTCTAAAATAATAGAGTTTAGAATAGAATTTTGAAATTGACGCCTTTAAAGATCTGTAATTTGAGTGTGACTTATATAAGCACTGTGTAAAGTTTTTTGCTGAAGTTAAATATGTAAAACTACACAGTGTATGCAAATCGAAGATTAAGGGTCATACTATCGTTGTTTGACCTCTTAACATTGGTTTGACCGTTTTGTTGTTGTCCCTCTATCCCTCGGTTTGTCCGACTATATATAGGGGCCTTGCATATTAGTTAACCTGGGAAGAAGAAAACACTTGCTGTGACCTTCAACTCGATATTTTGATACATGTATATCGACGACGAATTATCAATTAACAATAATTAATATATATACATGTAATAATATGTCGACTCGATATATCCCAGTGAACTTGAAATAAAAGATACCACAGAGTCTGACAATCTGTTTCATATTTGGATATTTTACTAGGAAAAGTCGTAATTGGTTACCTATCAACAAAACTTTACGATATAAACGTGATGACTTCAACTTTTCTGTCGTCAACTTCCCTTACTTATGTAGCAATATACCCTTATTACCTGCATAAGGGGTTCATGTCTCACAATTGATTCGATAAGTCAGAGAATGCTCTACGCACGAGACAAGATATTGACAAACAAGTTGATGAAACAGGAATATCCACAGTCTCATATGAAGTCGTCATTCAGCGAGTTATATGGTCAATACAATGTCCTTGTCAGCAAATACAATATATCATTAATTAGATTGCTTACTGACGTTTTCATACTAATTGTTAAGCCATTGCTTACACATTGAATTCTCTACAGATTATTTCCCCTTTTTCTGGAACACGACAATGAGCACACGGCGGGCTTTGGCCGGTCGACAGAGGAGGCTCAATCCTTTATGGCATCTGACCCCACATCAGATGTTTTTAGAGGCCTGTGTTTTCTCTGCTTTGTTTCTCTGTATTGTTTCAATGGACTTTTGAGCTTGATTACTCTTCGTTATCTCCATATTTGATTATATCAACTTAATATTTTCTTCTTAAATGCATTCACCAAAAAACTTGCTGTTAAACAACGATTTCATGAATTTATACCCGAAAGATCAATCTCTCAGGAGAAGGTGCGCAACACAAGCTTCTCTTGAGCATTCTACCACTAGGTTATCGTGATCGGTTTTTCAGATGAAAGCAAATATAAAGTTAGTATGGGAAAAATATCTTAATGTTATGGCGGAAATGAAATATGAGGTAAAAAAAATACCATTAACCCTTTATAAAAGAATTTTGTTGACAATTATACAAGTGTAAAATTCCAATATTTACTTTTTAGGTTTGACGAGAATCGAACCCCGGCCTACTGATCAAAAACGAGCGCCCTACCACCAGGCTACCGTGACCGGTTTTTCCCACGAGATCTTAGGTTTCACATCTTACAGTTTTTACAATCATGACAATCACGTTAGTTAAGAAGAAGAAAATACACTTAAATGAGTCAATTTTTTCTCTTTAATGATTTCACAAAAAATAATTATGACAATAGAAACAAAAACTCAAATGGCTAAAATGCTCACCCGAGTCACCTAACAAATAAATATAGTGATTACTTAGACTCCTTACACAATAATAGTAGCAATCAAATTCTCTATTTCCATGATTTCAAGAATTCTGATAAAGTCTGTAAAAATATCAGGTCCTGTTTACAAATTGTTCCTTGTTGATCTTGCAGAACTCTATAAATATTTTTGAAACTATGATTTGTTAACATGACACATTTGGACAAATTGGTATTATACATTGTAAACTTGGCAAAACCCACATTTTGGATGTTAGAATAATTCAAATTGTGTACAAAATCAGAAATTCATTCCAACAATTGATATTTATTCAATTCTGTCTTCCTTTTTCTCTGTCACACACACTCATACATTAATATATAAACTGACATTTATTTTCTATAAATTTGCAGTCTTTTCTCGGATATGTTTCACACTATCAATTTCTCGAATCATGTCGGCTGCTTTCTCTGCAATCATAATCGTTGGAGCGTTTGGATTACCGGAAGGAACATGGCGCATGACGGAAGCGTCGACAATTCTCAGATCTCTTACACCCCTTACTCTGTAAATGTTTAAATATTAATAGGTACAAAATAATGTCAAAAAATTGAAAAATAATTACTTTTTTCCCTCTAAATAGGGAAATTCCATAAAACTACCATTATCAAAAATAAAGAAATATTTATGTCCGTGAAGAACTTGAGCATTGTAACTGTGAATATAAAAAAAGAACATTAACACAAGCCACTGTATACGATATGAAATGATACCCATTTTACAGTTATGGGGGATCAACAATCTACATTGAAATGGAGCTTTTCTTTCATTTCGACAATTTTAATGAAGATAAATGAAATTTAAACAAATATATATATAACCATAACTGTCACGTCATTGCTGCTAATGGAAAATTATTGGAAATTATTTGCCACGACTCTATTTCAGAGTTATCGTTCTTATCACTGATATTCAATATCATTTAGGGAGAAATAAGAAGGGGAGCGGAATGAAGGTTATGATGGGAAATCTATTCAAATCAATGAAAACAACTTGAGGCATATCCCATCCATAAACATATTATGTAATAAGAACTTTGCAAAATTTTCGGACTCTTCTCAAAACTGACAAAACTTTAAATCCCAACCTCAGTTGTGGATCAACAACCGCAGTATTATCGGTAGCTGCTCCCATTCTACATGTTGAAGTTGTGTGATACATGGCTAGCAGATTATATTTTACTCTACAAATCCAGTATTCATCTGCTTCGTATGGAAGATCTTTACACGGGGGATAAAAATATTCATCGTAGGGATCCAGCGGTGATGCTCCAACGGATCTAAATGCTGTTGTATTTGCTAACTGTAACAGTTGTTTTATTCCTACAAAGGTAAGTTAGACGACCATTGTATGTATAAGATAGCACATAATAATAAAAATAAAAGTACTGAAAGTATTGAAACGAACAAGCTTATTTGAAACACTTAAATTAGGAAACGTGTGTTTTTAAATAAGTGTAATTATAAGCATATGTAAGTTTTCTTGTTTTGCAAGATAAAGATGATGATGTACAATGTATAACAAGACCCATACGTAATCCAGGCTTAAACTGTATGTGTACGGAAAGGGGGATAGAGGGGGATATCATGCCATTTTCATTTAAATTATTTATTAGCATATTTTTTCATTAATGTGGATGCCTGTGTTTCCGAACAAATTTTCTGATTAATGAAGTGTTTGGTTGGCTGAAAGGTCTTAACTGCATTATTTTATACCTACTTTAATTGGTAGTTATAAATGAAAATTCTGTTGCCCAAATGTGAAGCTCTGGAATAGTATGACTCGACTGTATATACACATATGCTTATTATAAAAACAAATTCACCTTTTAATAACATTTTCATATCATCAGGATGATCTAAGTATTTAGGGTCTATAAGAGGCGAATCAAACGGATCGTCACTACGAAGTCGTATTTTCCCTCTACTTTTTGGATGGAGCAGTGTACACAGTGCAATGAATGTCCCTCCTGCTTTGATGCTGCTATTCTTAGATGCGTCATACATTCTTTGAAGCACCTTTGGTGAATATAAGATTTAACAGATACATATCATGAATAGTGTTATTGAAAATCAGACTCTTTTGTACAAACAAAAGCGTCATTTTGAATTACAATATTCATTCAAGTTAAAATTGAATTTATTTAATTCTTAAATTAAGGATGAAATTAAAAGGGAATCTAAAATTCATTAAGTAATCCGTCTATCCCACCCTTTAAAAGTCTATGTTAACTGGCGACTGTCCAATCTATGCATTTGTATGTGTGAAATAATGTGTCAAAATAATTGTCATTGAAATTTATTTGTATAAAGGTAAATGATTGCTTCAGTCTTTCCCTTTTTTATATACATTAAAAACTGTTGAGCATATTATATCAGAAACATAAAATGCTTAAAAATAGATGTTTCTGTTTGTACATTTCCCGATGGTAAATAAACCTTGTGGCATAGTGGTAAAATACACTTTTATCAAAGCAATGAAACATCAATAAATTAATCCCTTAATAATTGATGGTGAAATAATTCGTTCAAATCAAACCTCTGGATCCAAATTTAACGTTTTGATAAACCCTTCATCCATAGAAGGAAAGCCTGAAACGCTGTAAAATGAAAGCTGAGCATATGGAAGCAAACTGTCATCGTCCTTGAGAAAGGCGCTTCCTTCTATGTGTGTTTTTCCAAGAGGACCTAAACAACGAGAAAATGTTTTTATGAGAATAACGCAAACCCCACATCTGAGGCTATAATCAGTACTAAAACTAATGTACTGTAAACAACTTGAATTCGCTTGCGAGATATTTCCGCATGTTTCACAACCTTCCTTTTTTTCGCGAATATTTCTCGCGCGAACCACAAAATTAATGGTGTAAGTATGTAGAATATACCCCCAGTAGCGAAAATTAATCGTCGCAATTAGGTTTTATTCTGAAGCGTTCCGAATAAAAGTTGTCGCGAATAATTGTTGGTTTACAATACGTGCTACATGTATATTGTTTTTGCTTTGTTGTTGTAATAGATAGTGTATATATTTATATATAGTTTATATGTGATAAATAAATAAAATGAAAGAAGTTAATAAATACATGTATATATATATGTGTATATATTAACTTTTTTGCTAAGCTTATGCTGGTCTTCTTATCTCCTGCTCGGGCTTTTTTCTCGTGCAAAAGACACGTTAAAGTCACCCCAATGCTGCATTTCAAAAGCAAACGTTCTTGCAAGAAATTGTACTAAATAATGAAAAGGTATCCTACGCAAGCCTACTACAGTGTATTTCTATAAAGTAAAATGCAGATACTCTGTAATGCTCAGAATTAGAGTGACTAAGAAGTTGTTCATGTTGACGTAGCGTTTTCTTTTTAAACATTCAATTTCCCGTGACAGCGTGATACATACTGACCCTTCAGGCCTCTAAGTGGCCTCTAAAATTTAGGCGCCAGCTAACGCCTTCTCAAAAAGGTTTTGTCGCCAATGCAAATTTTTTCTAAGGCGCCAACTTTAAAACTTAATAGAATATAGGGACCCATGACGTGCATAAGAAAACATGACATGTCCATTGCTTTAAATAATTTCCTATTCTTTTAAATTTCTTCTCGCTTTTTCAGAAAAAAATTGGTAAAAATATAAAAAAATCCGGAATTCGACGATCGCCAAGTCAATTTAAAATGGTCGCCAATTTGGCGACTTATGGAAAAATCTTAGGCGCCAATAAAAAATTTAAGGCGCCATGGCGACTAAATTAGACGCCAATTAGAGCCCTGCCCTTGTTTGTTTCTTTCATATGGTTTGTACATATTGGCTCTTTTAGATACACATTTCATTATGCTATTTTTATTACCTTCTTTAAATTACTTTCATAACATGTTAATCGGTGGGTAAAAACACACAGAGTATCATTTATGTTTCGTATCTACAAGTCGGGGTTTGACTTTCTAAATGAAATTTCTGCATTTACCTGATTTTAACAAACTGTATTTCAAAAAGGAAATGGCTGAAGGGCTAAACGCCGAACTTGTATTATCTCTGAATAACATATGTACATTTATATGATCCTCTAAGTTTTCTCCAACTGGCAGATCGGCAACTAATGGGATCTGTATGAAGAAAGAAGAAACATCTTAACATCAAGTGTCGTACAACTATGTAAAATACGTAAGTGAAACTTAATTATGATCAGTCTCAGTCTACAGATTAAGTAAAGGCTTAGGTAGGGTTAAGTTTTCAGAAATGATTAGGACTTGTGATAATACATGTACTTAGAAAATAAGGATATAAAATTTGCGCTGTAAAACAATGCAGTATGCTATGTAAATATGGGGATCAATCACATTTTATTTTCCCAAATTCTGAATGTTAATTACTAAACTCTAAATATAAAAACATTTAATTTAATGAAAGGTCTATCTCCATATTAAAATTATTAATGTCGGAAAAAGGTTAGGGGATAATATATCTTCAATGTATTTACATTACCCCCAATGACTCTAGATGCTCTTTAGGACCAATTCCAGACAACATCAGGATTTTAGGTGAGTTTATTGCTCCAGCAGAAATGATGACTTCTTTCTCTGCCTTTATCACATGTTTTACATTGTTCCTAATCATGGAAACTCCCACAGCCTTCTTATCTTTAATCATTATCTGGATTATTAAAATTGTTATGTTTTTGACAACGCAGACAGTGAGATTATTTCTTGTAGATTAAGGTAATTATTCCATAAAAGTCTTCCTTATTGTATAGACGCAAAATGTTGCAATCAGATAAAATTGATTCTAGGACTTCGTATTATCGCGCATAGAGGAAGTAGTCAATAGTCCATTAAGGAGTATTCATGGTGTTAGCTACTGTTTATTAATTAAGGTTCAAAGAATCAGCAGTGAATTCCTTGGTTTCAAAATGTCACGGATCTCATTATTTGTATCAACATGTACCCATGTTCTTCATTGTTCATCATTATAATTAATTAAATCATATATGGAATATCTCGAATATGTTTAGAGGAAATCTGGAAAAAAAAACCATAAATTTTGTATTTCTAGTTAAAATTTGATCAACAAATTCCAGGATAAAAAAAGTGTCTTGCATTCTGAGAAAATCCTTTTTTCCAGCTTTACGCGGTATCAAAGTTTTTATATTAACTTTGCATGATTGAGTAAATAGCATGTATATCTCAGTTCAATTTTAGTTTAATTTTGCAATAAATCTTGGTATATAAAGCGAGTTAAAAAAAAGTTGATATCTCTAAATATGTCAACTTTTTTCTTCTTTTCATTGTAATTTATATCTACTATTTTTTAAGAAAACAAAATAAAATTTTCGAATTTAATTTGAGACAGATTTGAATAATTTAATTTTGGTTTAACGCGTCATTTGATTGGATAGAAAATTAGTTTATATTGTATAACCTGTGTTGCCTATATCACAATGACTTACGTCAAAAGCGTATCAATCCGCTTGACGTTACATATGAAATGTGTACAATTTGAAGGCATTTTTGAAGGAGGAATTGTCTTATTTCCTACACTTAATGATGGAAAATTAAATCATAAGGAATGAATTAATGCTAACCAAGTTATACTGGCATAACCTGGTTGGAATATTTTACGCTTCGCGGTTTATAAAGCGTAAACTACCCCAACCCAGGTTATACAGTATAACTTGGGTAGCTATTAAATTCATTCCTTAATTAATCAATGGGACAAAAACCAATTAAATGAAACATATTGTAAAATACCTGATTTTGATTTCTTAACTTAGTAATTATTACCTTTGATACGTATGAGTTTGTAGCCACGTGAAGGTTCGGGCGGATCATGGCTGGTCTTAGGAAAGCTTTAGCGGTGCTCCATCTTTCTCTGTTTTTGGTTGTTTCTTGTCCAGGACAAAATCCTATCGTTGTACAGTGACCATTTCATGTGTGGCATAAGGACAAATGTGTTTGACTAAATTTTGAAATGCGGACTTAACACTTTGACAGTTTGACATTGCTCTTTCCTTTAAAAAAAAAGCTATATCACCTTCTTCCAACGTATTCAAGCAGAATATCAAAGATTTGATATATTTCTGTGTGACCTGATCTGTATAATTTATTCACTCCGATCCCATTTATGTAAAGAACACTGCCACTCAATATCAAAAATGATGATTTTGTTTTATTCCATCTCCTCTCCGACAACCTCTCTATTGAGCGGAGAGGGGCGCTTAATTTGAAGCTCAGGGCAAACCCTTTGGAAAATACACATTTCCCCTCCGTATTGGAAAAAAATTATAATTACCTATTTGAGTCTCTCCATTGCAGTCTACCACATCATATCCCATCTCCTGCATTCCTCGCCTGTAAACTTTATCACTGAGGGGCGTGGCTTTTGAGTCACTAACGATCAGCGGACCCCCTATTCCATGGTACGCTGTAAAAATTAATACAGCAAAATTATTTCTAAAAAAGGAAAATAATTTTAAGAAGCAGTGGAGAAAAAACTCCGGCACATATAGGCCTTTCTATTGCTACGTGGAATTGATAGATGAAAGACGCAAATTTATTCGTGATTAAAAAAAGAAAAGAAGCGAAAACAGAACACCAAAAACAATAAAACTCAACAATAATAAATGAATAAAAATCATTATAAATTAAATTGACAGATTAATAAATACAAATAAATAAATAAAAAGACAACAATCACAAAGGAAAAGAAATTAATGTAAAGATTAAAACAATTAGTACGTGAATTTTGCAAACTTGGTATCTGCATATCTTCAGATTTGATAAAATACGGCAGAACGTCCTTGTAACTCCACCCATCTGCTCCCTCTTTGGCCCAACCGTCAAAGTCATGCCGACTCCCTCTTATGTGGTGCATATAGTTTATAGAGCTTGATCCGCCCAGGACACGCCCCCTTGGCCATGTACATTCCTGTTAATGTTAAACAAATTCAAATAAATGGAACACAAAGGCCTAAATATAATGATGAAAGAAAAATATAATTTGATTAATTAGGGAGAAAAGAAAAGGGTCAAGAAAAAGGCAGGTTTCTTACAACTTAAGATATTTCAAAATGTCACAATTTGAAATGAAAATTATACAAGGCTGTCACCAGCTTTCTGGAAAAAAAAGATGTCGGGGCTTTTGAGAAGTCAAAATCTAAAAGCATTGCTTTAAACAGAAGAATAATGAATTCATTTTGTTTTAAAAATAAAATTTTATTATTCTTTATTTGAAAGTGGTTGGGAGTACGATCACATCCAGAGTACCCCCCCTCCCCCCCCCCCCCCCCCTCGACAGAATACACTGTTTTCACCATAATACCTTTCCTTGCATATTGAAGCATGCGTATTTTTGAGGTATTGTCCTGAAAGCCCAATCGTGTTTTGTAGCCTGCAGGGCCCCCGATAGGAAGGGGATATGCATCAGTTCACTTTCATCCTCCGATCCTCCAGCCTCTATAATTAGCACCGAGGATCTTAAATCTTCCGAAAGTTTGTTAGCAAGAACGCAACCAGCTGATCCAGCTCCCACTAAAAAAATCATCCAATAAGTAAATATTTAATAAATAAATAATAAAAAAAATTGAAAAGAAACTTGGCGTATTAATAAAGGAGAAACTTTTTAAAATCAAGAAAGCATACCAATAATGTAGCTGTATGAACTGTTAAGCATGTCTGCTCCGTCGTTTGAATTATTCTTTGCAAACCTGTAGTTGTACACAAAAATGGCAAACAGCGCGACAAAAATACTCCACGTCCACCACATAATTATATCTACCAATAAAAGTATTGGGTGGATTCAGAAATTAAAATAAATAAATAAATAAATAAAATTGGAATAAAATAGGGATAATAAATACTTGTAAATAAATTAATCTCGGTTCTGTTCCTACTGAAATTATTATTTTTTTTTTCATTTTTCTAGTATTACAGATCATATTATTTTGTACTGTTGGATAGAAAAAACAATTGAAATTTTGCATTGAATTGCCGGTAATTTAAATGAAAATAGAGCGGAAAAAAATGTACATTATTACATGAAGATAAGACCAAAATTAAAAAAAAAAATGTTTGTTTGCCCCTTTTCGACCCAGATTTTTAACAAAGGGTAGGTAGGTAGGAAAAATATTTTGTTTTTTCTTCTAAAAATTATACCAAGAAGCATAACGACTCATTTGAGTCACTTTCGCTGTTGCTGCTCTTCAAAAGGTTGTTTTTGAAAGATATTTCCTTTATACATTCCCATGAAAAATTGTGGGTCTACTCTAGGCTCAATGTAAACCTATAGGGTTTGAGACAAATATTTTAATTAGTAAAATAAACATCATCAATTGTTTACAATGTACTTATTATATAGTGCATAGACCTCTAATTTAAGAAGGATATGGAAGTGTAAGATTTTTCCGTAAAAGTAAATAAACAAATAATCTTCGGACATCAATATAGGAACAATAATTGAACATTATTGACATTTATGTTAAAGTTATACTGACTTTTGCCTAATGCCAGGACACTGACCACAGTTTACAAAAACTTATGTTTAGATTACAAACTGTTTTGTAAAAATTCCAGGATTTAGACCCAATTTATTGAATAACTTGTTTATCGTATATGCAAATAAGTATTATGTATTGTACATTATAAAAATACGATCTACGGTGACCTTCGGGGTTTTCGCCCACTATACGATCACAAATTGTTTTCATTATAAATTTCATTAAAATAAACTCTTTGAAGCAAAAATTTTACATGTCATTGCCTCACAAGACCAATTTGGTGCCGTGACCAGAATCCGACGAAGTACAAGAAAAGACAGAAAGACGAAAAGGGTAGGACATTGTTTTCTTTTCTACCTTGTCTTTAACTGACCACTTTCATTGAAATTTGGATAAAGTATTTCTTTTTTCAAAAAAAAAAAAAAAAAAAAAAAAAAAAAAAAAAAATGGCTACAGTGAAAGTGCCATCCTTTGGGGATGATTTAACAAAGGCGATTGACGATTTAACAGCGCAAATGTCTGAAACTGAAATATTGAATGATAAATCTTATAATGAGGGAGTGAGTTCAAATTGCTTTCCGTCTACAAGTAAAAAGGGAGATGAGGGGGATAAGAAAATTAAAGAATGGATGAATTCTATTTTAAATCAGGTTAAATCAGTAACTGCTGGAAATGCTGTTCCCTGTTCCCATTAATCAGGTCATTACACCTTTTGAGGGGGATCCTAGAAAATTCAAACAATGGATAAAAGACGTAGAAAAATATGCAAAAATGTGTGATATGAATAGTGAAGATATTTCAAAAATAGCGTATGTTACTTGTAAAGGGTCTGCATACGCGTCAGAAAATTTGGAACATGAAATTATTCAAAAACAATTGGTTGATATTTTTACTGATGGTTTATACTTTTATATTTTTTGAGAATGAAAGTTTTGAGAGAAAATCCTAAAACGTTAGAAAACGCGGTTCAAATGGCAATGAGGGAACAACACAGAACACAGAAAGCAGATGAGGGAGAGGAGAAACCCATTTATTATCTTTCTCATAAACTGGGGAAAACACAAGTAAAATGATCTACCATAGAAAGAGAAGCCTATGCAATATATTATGCATTACAAAAGTTAGATCATTATTTGCATAATTCCATCTTTACTATTAAAACTGACCACAAGCCTTTAAAATATATATTAGATGCCCCTATTGCTGGATACAATTGTAAGGTTGAGTATATTGAAGGTAGGTATAACTGTTGTGCAGACTAGCTTTCAAGACTTCCATCTAGTACTTCGGATCACAGTGATAATGAAGGTAAGGATGAAAATGAGCCAGACATTAATGACAATGCATTTGAAGTCAGTGCAATAAATTCCAATCGTATTGAACCTAAACAATTTGCTAACTCCGATTTCACGATTCCTGATGATTTGATTAAACCATTTTTAGATTTACCGGAAAGTATCGATGTTCAAAAATTGCAAAAATCAGATGAACATATTGTTAAATTAAAAGAAAGAATTGAAAAAGGAAAAGCTACTCGATTTGAAGAACAGAAATTTTTAGAGATTGAAGGTCTTCTTTATTATTTGTCAGACGGGGATTCCGAATCTCCAAGACTGCGTTTATATGTTCCTCAAGAATTAGAAGAAATTACTCTAAAGCAGTATCACGACAATTTAGGACATATGGCATTAGACAAAACTTATGATGCGATATGACAAAAGTATTACATTCCAAATTTATACAAAGAATTAAATAATTATATTGAACAATGTGTAACCTGTCAAACCAGGAGTTCCAGAAAAAGTCAATCCTCCAATACAAGAGACTGAAATTTCACCTTATCCTTTTGCTAAAATTGCACTAGACTTGTCAGGACCTTATCCAACCACTCTTTCCGGAAACAAGTACATTGTCTCATTGATTGATATTTACTCAGGTTGGCCGGAAGCATTTTGTGTCGCTGACAACATAGTCCATATAACTTTGGATGAAATATTTCCCCGTTATGGCTGCCCTTTACAGCTTTTGACAGACAATGGCACGGACAATGTTAATAAAAAAGTGGAAGAAACTCTCAAAGAATTGAATATTCATCATATTACCACCTCGTATTACAATCCACAGGGTAATGGTAAAGTAGAAAGGTTTCACAGAACTCTTCATGATGTTATGGCTAAGAAGGTACAGGAGGAAACGCAAACTTGGGATCTTTATCTTAATCAAACTTTAGCCGCCATTTCTCCATTTTACCTTTTGTATAACAGAGATGTAGTTTTACCTTTAGATACTATATTCAAACCGCGAAGAAGGTACATGGGGAAGATCAGCATCAGGTTGCATTACAACAACAACATAAAGCATTTGTTCAAGTTCATAGAAATTTGAAAGCAGCTAAACGTAAGCAAAAAATACAAGCAGATAAAGGAAGTAAGGAAGAAACTTTTAAAATTGGTGACCCTGTTTATTTGAAAAATCATCGCAGAACAGGTAAGTTGGGCAAACGATGGGTGCCATATTATCGCATAATTGAGCAAACAGGACTGGTAAGTTTTATTGTTAAGAATCAACTCAATGGTACCACCACTAAAGCACATGCTAGGCACCTTCATCATGCTAAACTAGATGAATGGGAATTACCACCAAATTTAGGGGAAAGAGTTTTAAGACAAACCCAATATGTAGTTCCCCCGGAAAATGTTTCCGAGGAAGAGGGCTCGGAAGAGGAGGAAGAACAACCAGCATTACAGAGACTGGTAAGTCAAAAGCGAGTTGAACGCGATAATTCCTCTGACGAAGACGATATTCCGTTGCAAGAGCTTAGAAGAAGAATACGCGCACGTGCTTTAAACAACAACGCGGATAATGAAAATGCAAAGGAAAAACAAAATAATAATGAAAATCCACCGTTACCTTATGTAAATAACAGAGAGTTACAAACCGAAATGGAATATGATTCTGACTCTTCTATTGATATAGGCCGTCGTCAGTCTGATTTTGACTCCGCGGAGGAGCCAAATAGGGTAGATATAAATTCTGAAATTAGTGATTCACCAAAGCAATTAGAAATTGAACAAGAAATGGAAATTGATGAAGTAAATTATGTCAATGATAACCACATGTCAAAACAAGGCTTCAATAAAAAAGTAAAACCACCTATAACACCGAGAAAAGGTGTAAATGTATCAAATAAGGGATGTAATGAAAGCATTAAACACAGGTGCAAACCAGAAATAAAACCAAGAAAGTCCCAGGAACGTAAGTTGTATAATGGGAATACATCTAATGAAAATGAAGCTGCTGTCCAGTTTCTTAAGATTATGGGAAAATTACTTCAAGTATAAGTCGAATAAAGTTTTGATTAAAGAAAAAAACAATTATTTTGTAGACCATGTCGGTGGATTCCAGGTTCTTCAGTAAGACATAAGTCAGTAGTAAGGTTTGACCAAGATTTTAATTATTGTAATATATATAAGAAAAACCTGAAATAAAATAATAATTAACAAACATTTACAAATACTTGATGACTTTACTTTTAATTACAAAGATAATAAGAAATATGTATATAAAATAAATATATTTACCAAGCACCACTTGTTAATCAGCTCTGATACAATATAATGTCTATCCCCGTAAAGGGTGTAGCGCCGAGTGTGCATGGAAAACATTTAGTCGCGGGAAAGTTAGTAAAAAGTTATTAATAGAAATAGAACTGGTCAAACCGGAAATGGTCAAATACGTCAATCCTAGTAAACATAAATACTCACACGTGGACATTCACACATGACAACACAAACGTAAACACACACAACAGAAATAATTATAAAATAAAACATTGAAACTGAAACATTTAATTACTGACACTGGTTAAATTTTTAAAAAAAAATTTGTGTTGTACAGTCTTACTGGAATTTGATCGTCTTGTCATTGTATTGTCTATGTTTATGTACTGTAATTCTAGAACCTAATCAAAATGATCCAAGAATCACATATTAAATGATGGAAAATGGAAAATGCTTAATAATCTCATCCAATCATCTAATCAATGATATCCTTCATTGTTAAATGTAATATAAATAAACAGTTCAGCAACATAGCACAAAGTCATCAGTTGCTATTTTATCATTAAAACAGGAATGTACAGCATTTCATGGCTCTTTGGTCTTACCTCCATTTTATAATAAGGAAAGCACAATTGATCTCACACCCTCGTTTGATAAATTTGTAAAAAAAAAATTATCATTTTCGATTGATTTGTGGAAAC